CAGCTTGACCAACCTAGCCAGGCTGGCAGCCATAACCAGCTATGTCTAGTTTAAACCAGGCTGGTCAAGCTGGTTTTAGCTGGATTTAGCTAATCATTTTCCAGCCTGACCAGCTAAGACCAGGTTGGAAATGGCTGGAAACCCCTCTAAAACCAGCCTGGTTGACCAGCTAAAACCAGCCAACCAGCCTAGGCTGGTTTAAGCTGGATTTTTCAGCAGGGAATGCATAATTATTATGCATTTACATATTATACATGCATTTAAACATTTATCATATATGTTAGCTCCCTTATATCGCTTAACGGTATAAACTAAGAGCATACGCTCTGATAAAGGTACATTTCGCACATATGTAAACAGCCTTTCCTAAACCATGCTAACATATGGATCGTCACCCACCTTTGTAAATAAAAACACAATTTTTGAGGAAAAACGTATATCTTTTATTAAGTTTAAAGTGTGGAGCGATAGAATGTCGGTCCACAAGATAATAAACATCCGCTGTAAATGGTAAATGTTGGCAAAGTTTTCAGAGAGATAACTAGTGAAAACTATAGCGTGTCTGACTCCATTGCTCCAGCCGGAAGTATGGATACGCAACTATCGCTCAACCGGATGTGCGTGCGACCGTCCGTGAAAAAAAGCAGATGACAATGTTATTTTGATGTTCAATAATGAAGTCAAATGATGTTGATATTTGGTTGATTTTAAGTGGTTGGAAAGTGACCAAAATCCAACGTCGAGCCAGCATCTGAAACTAACATTATATTGACATCAAATACTGACATTATTCATCAGGTATGGCAATCAAAATCCAACAGCTGATAGATGTCATAGTGGTAATGTCCACAAAACGTCAAGCTGTTACATCATTAGACTTTGATACATGGTTGGTTTTAGGTTGGACATTGACGTTGACCTGACGCTGAGTTCTGATGTCAACCTGATTTTCATTTATAAACAAAATACAATGTCCCCATGATGTTATAGTACAACGTCAATCTGACATCATATTGACATTTTGTGCCTGCTGGGTGTTAAGGGCCATTTCGGTTATCATACAGTAAACATCCGCCATCTTCTCATCAGTGACATACATCTAAATAGTCTCTTTGTCAATGCATATACAGATTTTGGACATCTTCTTGGACACTTTTAATGCTTCCAAACAGTTTGCTAAAATTATCTTGAGGTAGTTCGCTTATGATGCAATTTACCCTTATCAGTATGTGCGATTGGATTGGACAGGAATTACAGGACTATTTTTTCCTGTCTATGGGGATTAGAAAAATCAAAGTCGTGACTGCAGGTTGAAGGAAAGTAGTGGAGTAAAAGAACAGATACAGTACTAAAAACGTACTCAAGGTAAAGTAAAAGTGCACATTTAAAAAAAAAAAAAACATCCTTGTAAATTCCTGAGAAAAAATAACTCAATTACTGTAATTTGAGTATTTGTAATTAGTTATTTACACCACTGGTTTCATGTAATTCTTGGAAATCAAATTCATGACCTTTGGGTTTGTATTCTGCTGTTGATTGACATAAATCATAACACATAGACATAGCTGTGACACTGGTTTTGAATTGAGCTCATTATAATCAGACAAGAAGTTTGACTACATTCAGGGTTGATGAGTCAACATGATTATAGATCTAAGCTAATAATTCAAAAGTGGCTGATTGTGACCAGAATGGGTCATTTATTAACTTGATCTCTTAACTTAAACACTTGTGTTGTTTTGTTTCGTCGATAATCGAATGTGCCAACAAGAGGGGGAAAAAAACATAATTACACCACCAGCAACATCATGAATAATTGAAATGAGGCATCTATGTTGTGTCTGTGCTATGTCGCTTTAACTTTGATCACATCTGAATGTTGCAGCAAAGCTCAAGACTCATCTTGGAGTAACGAAAAGCCTTGGAGTAACGATTGATGACCAACTAAACTTCTCTGACCACATCTCTAGAACTGCTCGATCGTGCAGATTCACACTCTATAACATCAGAAAGATCCGACCCTTCTTTTCTGAACATGCAGCTCAACTCCTTGTTCAAGCTCTTGTTCTCTCCAAACTGGATTACTGCAACTCTCTACTAGCTGGGCTTCCAGCTAACTCTATCAAGCCTCTTCAACTGCTCCAGAATGCAGCAGCACGAGTGGTCTTCAATGAACCTAAACGAGCACATGTCACTCCGCTGCTAGTCCGTTTGCACTGGCTGCCAGTTGCTGCTCGCATCAAATTCAAAGCTCTGATGTTTGCCTACAAAGCGACTTCTGGCCTTGCTCCTTCTTATCTGCTCTCACTTCTGCAGATCTATGTGCCCTCCAGAAACTTGCGTTCTGTGAATGAACGTCGCCTCGTGGTTCCATCCCAAAGGGGGAAGAAATCACTTTTGCGAACGCTCACGCTCAATCTGCCCAGTTGGTGGAATGAACTCCCTAACTGCATCAGAACAGCAGAGTCACTCGCTATTTTCAAGAAACGACTAAAAACTCAACTATTTAGTCTCCACTACACTTCCTAATCTGTAATTGCCTCTCTGAATATCACACTAACTGTACCCAAAAAAAAAAAAAAAAAATTACTAATACTACTAATACTTCCCTTCTTAGACTTTACAGACCTGAAACTTGCTTATAGCACTTATTCATTGTTGCTCTTGGTTGTGTAAATTGCTTCCTTGTCCTCATTTGTAAGTCGCTTTAGATAAAAGCGTCTGCTAAATGACTAAATGTAAATGTAAATGTATCTACACACAACTATCGTCCAGTTTTGTTGAGCCTGTGTGTATTGTAGCCTCAGTTTACGGTTTTTACCTGATAGAAGCATCACCATTGTGCTCTTCTTTTGCTGCTGTACCTCATCTGCTTCAAGGTTTGATGTGTTGTGTGCTCAGATATGCTCGTCTGCAGACTTTTGTTTAATGAATGGTTGTTTGCTGCTCACTGGATAGTTCTCTGTAGTCTAATGTGATAACTTAGCTTGAAGAATCACACTGAAGGCAGGATAGCAATACAGCCGACTTTTACTAAACACTTCAAATTCAGGAGACACAACTCAGTCTCACTGCACAGCATTGTAACAAGTCCTTTCTCTGCCAAACAGTATACCCAACCACTGCATAAGATCCCCACCTAGTGGTCAACTAACAGCAGCTAGAATAGACTCAATCTATTACAGGTAGTGATGGTTGTGCATGACAATTCCTGTAGGACAGCAGTTTCTGAAATTCTCAGAAGGCATCAACAACCATTCCACATTTGAGTGTGTGTGACGAACAACCGTATTAGTCCAAAAATAATAAATGAGATAACTATGTAACATTAATTGTATGTGTGAACTTTGTGTATTGAAACAGTTGTGGATATTTTCGTGCAACCAAGAGTCATTTAAACATTAAAATAGCATCAAACGGAAAAAAAAAAGAGTTTATGTCCCCTAAGAAGAATAGAGATGCCGCTTGCTATCGTTTTCTCTTCGGACATTAAAAGCCAGATACTCGAACCACCAACTTATCTGGCAAATGTTTTATGAAGGATGCTCTTCCAGCTGCAAGCCATCAGTGGGAAACACCCATACACACTCATTCACAGACTCTATTCTAAAATGCGGAAGTGCGCCTGTTTTCGCGATTGTTTTAGAACTTCTGATTAAGTCGCCTATGGAAGAAATGACTAGGACTCCTAAACGGCAGAAAACAGTCAAACTACTTGCTCTACAAACAAATGTTTGCATGACAATACAGACTAAGTAGAATAATGAAATAAAAAATGTCAGTTTGCAACATCAAGCAGTGTAATGAGCTTTTTTAACGTCTAAAAATGAATTAAAGTGAATGAGACCGGAAGTCTCGAGCCAAAAAGATACAAATGGCTGCGCCCACTTGTACGTAGAGAATAAGGTAAATTGAGTGTCGCCTCTTGGTCTTTCTATGGTTAAAATATCAGTTTCCAATATAATACTCAATGATGAAAAGTAGAAAGTTTTATGGGGAGTTCAAAACTATTTTGTAACACAAAACTAAACCAGATTTCTTAAATATAACTGTAGGAATATCAAATAAAAAAAAAAGATTCATTTTTAATGAGGATTGTAGCCATTTAAGTTTAATGGCCCCATTCATTATATTATAGTCAATTGATATAAGACCTCCCTCCTCATAATCTTTTATCATCTCTCCTATATAGTGATTTTTTTAATCTTTTAATAAAATCAGGTTAACTATTGTTTTTTTTTTTTTTTTAATCTTTTTAGCTAAAACTGCTAAAGAAAAGCATGGATAAATAAATCTAGAGAGGCTTTCTATTTTGTTTATAAGATCCTTTCAAAGATTGTTATGTCTCTCTGTAATCAGTTGATCAAATTACATTTTTCAAAACATTTACTTTTTGGCTTTACTCTGTACAGTTGAAGTCAGAATAATTAGCCCCCTTGTTTTTTATTTTTTTTAGTTTTAACTCAAACTCTGTTTAATAGAGAGCAGATTTTTTTCAACACATTTCTAAATAACAGTTTTAATAATTCATTTTTAATAACTGATTTATTTTTTCTTTCCCATGATGACAGTAAATAATTTGATGACTGAATAAGTAGTATCAGAGACTTTCTAAATAAGGAAGCCCTACACACTTTAAAACTTTGTGAATGCTTACCCCCTGGCATGTAAAGTTATATTTTTTCTAATGTTAAAATCCCTTAACAGACAACTTAGCCTATCCAATTTACCCATACAGCATGTCTCTGGACTGTGTGGGAAACCCGGAGGAAACTCACGTGAACGTGGGGAGAACATGCAAACTCCAAACAGAAACACCAACTGACCCAGCTGAAGCTCGAACCAGGGACCTTCTTGCTGTGAGGCGACAGCCCTATCTACTGCGCCACCGTGTCGCCCAATAGACATTTTTGTTGCCGAACCACTGCGTCAGGTGGCGGTAATGCGCCAAATCACGTTCAAGAGTACGCTAAAAGAAAAGGCGATGACGTTTTACGCAAGGGGGCGACACGCAGATGCTCCGACGCATGCGCAGTCAGAGTAGGCACGCGCGCAAGCGAGACGAGGAAACGGCTTCAGACAATAAACATGATTAAACCGAGTCGTTTTCCCACACATCTGTAAAGTTAGATGAAAGCTTATATTTTGGTATGATCGTTTGACTGGGTGATCATAACTGCGTTCGGTTTAGCAAACAGTAGTGACTATTGTTTCAAAGTAGCCGGCTTTATGCTAGCAGGCGGCTAGGCCTAGTCTGGCCTGCAGTATCTCGGTTCAAGCATGCATCCCTCTTGGGGCGGTTTCGGCGGCGGACACCAGCCTCCTCCGCATTTCGGCCCGCGACCTCATCAGTTTAGAGCAGCTCAACCTCCTCCACCAACAACAGCACCACCACCACAACCAGCAGGAGCACCACCACCGGGAGGAGGTGGGTTTGCAGGATATGGCGCTCCGTCTTTCCCGCCGTCGAATTTCTCCAGCTTACACGAGCAGCATTTGCAGCAGATGCAGCAGTTGCAGCAGCTCCACCAGAAGCAGCTGCAGTCGGTGTTGCACCACTCGGGCAACAACAGCAACAGTCCTTCTCCTTACTGGCAGGCTGGTGGTGCTGGTCCCGCCGCTCCACCCAACAGCTTTCAAGCTGCTGGCCCGCAACCACAGCCTCCGCCACCCGAGGTGAAACCCCCAGCCCCGGAGCCTCCTCCACCTGCTCCAGCCGCATCAAAGCCTCCTGCTGCTTCAACACCTCAGGTTAGCGATGCCAGTGCACCGGTGGGAGATGAAAAGCCCGACTTTTCGAAGATGTCCATGCAGGCAAGCCTCTGTCGCATGTCTTTTTTATTAATGGTGTCTTAATGATGTGGGAGTACAGACATACATTACAGAGGTTTAAATAGTTTTTGGGGGGTAGATTTCAATATTCACTGTTGTTATACAGTGCTCAGCATAATTGAGTAAACCCTATATTGACAATTATTATTTTTTTCCTTTTCTCAGTGAATATAGGCAATGTATTTTGGTGCATTTAAACTAAACATTTATTAAAATAATATTTTAGTCACCAAACATATACAAAAATTAAAAGGTAATATAAATAGTCAAGTTAAAAATTGAAAAAGACATTACAATCTTTAAAATTTCAACTAAATATTTCTTTTTTTTTTTTGTCGTTGTTGTTGTTTCTCTTGATCTTTCCTCTTTAAAAAAAATGTATTCTGTATTTTTATACCATGCATTTGGGTGTACTAGTTTTTGGGCAGTTATCGTAAGTTATTTAGTTAGATAAGCTGCAGATTTGGCTTCAGTACTGCCTAATGTATATGCACAAATATAATATTGTAAAGCTTCTTATTAAGAATATGAATTTAAAAGATAGATCTTGTAAGGGGTGTACTTATATATGCTGAGTGCTGGATGTGATTTATAATGTCATGAAGTAAATTTGTTTATGCAATATCTGAAAGCTGAAGTAAGCAAGCTTTTTGTTGATGTTTGTTGTGATTTCATATTTGGCTGAGAATTAATTTTTCGAAGGAAAAAGGGGTTAAAAAAATCTAATAATAATAAATTAATAAATAAACCTAATAAAATATTACTGATAAAAAAGTTTTTTTCTAAAGGGAATAACCCCTTTGACTGCCCCTCTACCAAATGGTTGATCATGTTTTTACTGTTTTAACTAATGACTTTGGGGCAGCACGGTGGTGCAGTGGGTAGCACAATAACCTCACAGCAAGGAGGTCACTGGTTCGAGCCTCGGCAGGGTCAGTTGGCATTTCTGTGTGGAATTTGTGTTCACATACTGTTGCAATCCTGTTGCACTTCCAAACTAGATTTTAGTTTTATTGTAAAAGAAAAACAAGAAAACTTGTTAAATGAGAATCTGAAATATTTTATAGCATACTTCAAAAAAAGATGTTTTAGCATTCAAAAATGATTGTTTTTAAATAAATTGGTCTTACACTTTCATTGTTAGACTTTTTCGTAGTATATGTATTAATTCTGGTACTTTTACCATAAACCAACATATCATGCATTTGGTAGAGGCTGATATTTTAGAAATTATGGGATGTGTTGGGAAAAAATGCATTGAGTGTTTTAACTAGCTACATTAGGAGTAGCTAATCCAAACGTTTTTTTTCCTGGTGGGGTTATAAAATAAATATGGCATACAATAAAATTAAGACACATTTCGGGTCAATACAATTGTGTCTGCTTTTTGAAATTCTTATGTATTAAAAGCAATCTTTCGAATATTCTTTTGTTAATTCCTTACTGTTTATTTAATTTTGTTTTGCTGGCTGCATTGAGTATTTTGGTTAAAGCAAGGCCATAGAAACATTAATGAATGGTGAATAAAATATCAGGAAACTTTACAGGACCTATAATGTATTCATGAATAAAACTGCACCACAAAATTGCAATTTACTTTTAATTACAGTGATTATTTACCTAAAATTGAAAGCTTTCTATTAACTCCTCAGGCAATCCAAGGTGTAAGGGACTATTTTTCTTTAATTGAACTGTAAAGGAAGATTTATTTAAGTTTTATGATTCATAAAGTAAGTCAATGGCTACAAGAAGAGAGACAATAAACACACAATTAACAACTTTGGCTCCTAGTAAGTCTTATGAAGAGAAGCAGCAGGTCTGTGCAAGATACTAAATGTGATTTAATCAAACAATATCACCTCTAACCCACCGCTTCAGCTAGCAGCCTTGAGAGTGTTTGCATGTAATGGTCTGGAGTGTTGGCTTCCTGTCCCATAATGACGCATTGCATTTCACATGGACTTCTGCTGTTTGTATACAATGTGGAGAGAAGACGCATGTGTTGTATTCATTGAAGTAGTGCTTGCGCTTTTCCTAGGGCCTGTGCCATAATTCCTGATTAGTCAGTTAAGTTAATTTGCATCAATTCTGAGTTTTAGATACGATGAAGGTACCTCTGCTGATCCATAATGCTTTTTTATTTTTAAACAAACCAAAATTTTAGCTTGAGCACTCAATGTATTGTCATGGGTAATGGGTATTATTTTGTTTTCCGTTAGTAACCTACGTCTTGGAGTGTGTTTCATTTTAATGGACTTGGCAGCTGTCTTTCTGTGTTTTAAAAAGGGCGATTTGTGATTACATCTTTTCATTTTGCTTATAAGAGAATTCTATTTTCCTGATAGGGTTAGGGTTTAATGTTGACTTGCTACATCTTATTATTAGTTTAAATAATTAAAATAAAGTGAATTTTACACAGTTACTGAAATAAAGACACAATAATAATACATTCAATATAAAAATCGACATAGTTGTGCGACAACCAATGCATAAAATAAATTGAATTTGTCTAAATTTTATTAATATTAATATTATTAACTAATATTATTAATCATCCACCACCAGTGTGCAGCATCCACATGGATGATGTGATGGCAGCCATTTTGCGCCAGACTGCACACCAGCGGATTGGTGGAGAAGAGACAGAGTGATGAAGCCAATTATGATAAGGGGATGGTTAGGAGGCCCTGATAGACAGAGGCCAGTAGGCAAATTTGTCCAGGATGCCGGGGTTAAACCTCAAGATTTAGTAGCCTACACACAGCCCTGCACCCTCTCCTTTTAAGTTCAGACTTTGCAAGTTTGATATGGAAAACAGACTCCCGAGGGCATGTCAGTTAAATCTTCAAAAGGAAACAGTCACTGTATGCATATTTATAACAAAACAGTCTATAACATCACTGTCTCCTTTCATACTCATTGAAAATACGAAACACCCTCTCTTTTGCTGAATATTAGTTTTAATAATCAATAATGGCCATTATAAAAGTATAACATACAATAAGTTTATACATATAGGCAAACAATCAGTCAATATACAGAATGTGTACAGAATGCGCTCAGCTAAAACGCATTACCTGAGAACAAGTAATAGATTCAAAAGACCAAAGTCGGGGAATGTGTTGATGGATATAGACAACAAGATGAATTAAATTTCACGTTTAACTAATATAGTGAGATTAGATCCAGCGGTGAATCCTTGATGAACAGTCCGACGAGCACAGCTCTCATCAGGCTAGATAAGCTGCAGTGCATGCCAGAGTGTGTATCGGGGGGTGTGTGTGTGTGGTCACTCGTTTTCAGTAGTGTGGGGAAGACAGAGAGTTGTTCAGAAACGCTGGGTCAAACGCTAGTGTGGATGCAGATCGTTTTCATTCTAAGATGCCGTTTTAAAACTAAAACGCACTAGTGTAAACTGGGCCTGAGATTTTTAATGACCAGGACCTCAGTTTAACATTTCATTTGATAGACAACGCTCTGAGCGGTATAGAGTGCCCATTAATACACTGGGGCATTAGGACACACACAGACCACAGGTTGATCACCCCCTGCTGGCCTCACTAACTCCACTTCCAGCAGCAACCTAGCTTTCCCATGTGGTCCCAATCCAGGTAGCCCAGTTTAGCTTCAGTGGGCGACCATGTAGCAGTTGCAGAGAGCTAGATGGGGGGGGGGGGGGGGGGGGGGGGGGGTCTTAGAATTTTTATCCCCACCTCCCCTGTAGTTGCTGTTCTGCTATTGGCTGGAGCTGCACAAAGACTAAGCCAGTGCTGAAAATAAATACTAATGGTCAGTCAAGATGCAAGAGGAACATCCTCTGAGGTTGTTTATTATTAAGTGTTTTAAATACTAAATGTTCGCACATGGACACCATTCCCAGACTGAATTGAATTAATCTGAAGAACACCTTTAACCTGTTTATTGTAATATCATTACATAAATTAAAGATTTAAAAATAGGGGTGTGAATCTACACTGGTCTCACGGTTCGGTTACGATTATCATGCCATCGATTCGGTTCAATTTGATATCTCGGTGCATTGACGATGCTTTCCATACACAATTCGATTTTTTTCTTCACAACACAAGATTTAAAATCTATTAATATAATAATATTTATATATTATTTGTAATTCAATTCTGTCCTTAAATATAAGCAGTAAGATATATGAACTGTACCTTTAACTTTACCTGCTGAAGGAAAACACTCTTTTTGAATGTTTCAAACAAAACTTCAATAAATGCACAGAACAACATAAGGATTTATAGCAAATAAACTAATGTAAATATTACCCCCTCTTGCTTTTTAAGCACTGTCAAGCCAGATCTTATACCCCCTATAATTGGTCATTGTCTTCACCTGCTCAACAGAAAGGGTGGCGCTTGGCTTTAGAAATAAAAGTGCTGTTTACCAATGAATGACGCGAGAAGAACAGCCACCGTTACAGTCTATATGCGCATAATAAGAGGTGCCAGCGGAGAAGTTTTACATGCATTGAGATGAAGCTTTATAGCATTCTCCCTAGTAGTGAAATAGTGGCTCTTGCGCTGTGCCTTTTTTTAGTGTCAATGAAAGACTTTCCAGCAAACTCACAAGCAGTTAAACTGTGCATAATTATCTACCTTTTAGGTATAAGTGTTTTATTTACTCACCCTCGCCTCCTTCGCCATAGTATTCTACTGCGACATTGCGCATAGGGGATAAATGACGGCAGTACGTAATAATCAGTTATAATCTATTACTGAACCGATATTGAATTGTCCCCATCTGGTGCACCGAAGAAACAATTAATTTTGACACCCCAATTTAAAAACAAAGCTTAAAAAAAAGTTTATAAAAAAATTGCAATACTCAACAACATCACATATTTTTTCCAGTATCATGTTGCTCTAATAATTACATATTTTTATAGGAGCAGCAGGAATACTGGTACCAGCAGCACCTGCAAAATTTGCAAAAGTTGAAAAATGAGAAGGCAAAGCAAAATCAAGGTTCTTTTAATGAAAGCCATGCTTCAGCTCCTCCGCCTCCAGTTGAACCCCCAAAGAGCACCCCTCCACCTCCACCACCCAAAGAGGAACCTCCTCCTCCACCTCCACCTGACGAATCACAGGTACTTCTTTTTTCTTGCTCTAAGCACTTAATTGTTTTTTTTTTTTTTTTTTTTTTGGTCATTTTTTGTTACTATATTTTTATTGAGCCCATTTTTACCCATATAATATAAAAATGTGCTAGTTTATTTATTTTTTTTGTTTAATTTATTACTGGTATTCACCACAGTCCAGCAGTGTCAATAATACTGGAGACCCAGCTGAAGCAGCACGTCTTCAGCAACTGCAGGTGGCAGCTGCACAATGGCAGCAGGTGCAGCATCAAAGGGCCAGCTTTCAGTACCAGGCACTGATGCAAGAGCATGCACAACTACAGCAGATCCTGCAACAATACCAACAGGTTATTCAACAGCCAGCGCATCTCCAGGTACACTCTCATTCTCAGAATTTTTTAATTTACACTGATATCTCTTAAACTATTATGGTGAAGAGAGAAAAAAAATAGGTAACCTTACATTATTATTTAATTGTGATTGTATATTTATGTTCATAGACAATGCCTTTCGAAATGCAGTTGCAACACTACGAAATGCAACAACAGCGATTTGCTCCATTGTACCAAGAATGGGAAAGACATTTTAATTTGTGGTTAGAACAGTTTCAGATGTACCCACATAAAGATCAGCTACATGATTATGAAGCCCAGTGGAGGCAATGGCAGGAGCAAATGAATTCAACTTCAGCTCATCTGCAAGAGAGGGTCACGACTTTAAGAGCCATGCAGCATCAGTATGGTTCTTCATATGGAATGATGGGATCATATGGGCAGCAAAGTCCAAATGTCCAAATGGGACCAAATGGAAACATGAATTTAGTAGGCCCAGGAACTCCATCTATGCCACCGCCAGTCACCATGGATGCCATGCCAGCACCATCAACACAAGGCCCATCACAGTCTGGACCAGTTGTTCCCCAGGGTCATTCACCTTCTGATCTGGAATCTATTTCTGAAACATGTAAAACTGGTTTACCACCTGGTCATGGAGTTAGACCGCCTGGTCCTGGGGTTAGACCGCCTGGTCCTGGGGTTAGACCGCCTGGTCCTGGGGTTAGACCGCCTGGTCCTGGCGTTAGACCACCTGGTCCTGGCGTTAGACCGCCTGGTCCTGGCGTTGGACCGCCTGGTCCTGGGGCTGGACCAGGGGTTGGACAACCAAGACCGGGGGTTAGACCACCTGGACCGGGGGTTGGACCACCTGGCCCACAAGGTGTTAGACCATATGGACCAGGAGGTAGACCACCGGGGCCAGGAGTTAGACCATCTGGACCAGGAAGTGGACCGCCTGGACCCCATGGAAGATTTGACGGCCCAAGGTAATTCAGAAGAAAAATTACTTGGAATAACACATTTGTCTCGAGCTAGAGAACTAATTTTTGTTTTCTTTTTCAGATTTGAAGGTCCTAGAGGCCCACAATTTGAACAGCCACCCCAGCAACGATTTAGTGGACCACCCAGATTTGATGCTGGTCAGCGATTTAGCCAACCTCCTAGAGGTAATCCTCCCTTTCCAGGGGCTCCAGCAAGGCTGGAGAACCCCCCTAGACAGAATACCCCTACACGCTTTGAAAGACCTCCTGTAGCTTCTCAACAAACTGGTTCTGGTCAACAATCCAGTCCTGTAACTGGCAATCAAACAAAGCAACAATCAGCAAAACCTGAGGCAAAGCCAGTTCCTCCATCTTATACAGACCCAGACAAAGCTAAAAGTCCTTTAAGTCAAAGTACTCAAAAAGAAAACAATTCCTCTGCTCCATCCATGACAGACGACCTTGTGGACTCAGTGGATGGATTTTTTATTCAGAGTGGACCCATTCCTCAAACTAAGGATTCTGATAAAACTGATGCAGACAGTGCAAAGCAAGATAAAACAAAAGAAGTTACTACAAAACCATCTGCACCTACGGATGCCCCAGACACCACAAACAAAAACTCTAACTTGCAACCTCCTAAGACCAGTCATACTGCTAATGGGCCACCACAACAAGTAAAGCCTCCTCAAAACAAATTTAAACCTGATACACCCAAGGAGACTCCTAGGATGCTACCCATGATGAATCAGCAAGTTCCACCACAGATGGCACGGGGAAGAGGACGAGGCCAAATACCAATGCCTCTCCGAGGCAGGGGTCGTGCACGTGGTCGAGGGCAGTATGGCGGACCAATGGCTGATCCCAACTTCCAAAGAGAAATTGAGGAGGATTCCTATGACCATCAGGAACCAGGCAACGCAAGTCATGGCGAGGATCAGGATCGTATTTGGAGAGATCCTTCTTTAGATGGTCCTGAAGAAATTGATCAGGAAGCACCTTTAGAGATTTGGCAACCAGAGGAGGAACACTTTCCAGAGGAGTACCCAGAGGACACTCACCAAGATGAAAACTGGGAAGAAGAACCACAGGATTATTGGGAGGAAGAAGATCCATATTGGGCAGAGCAACGACCTGCCATGCGTGCTAGACCTCCTTTTCCTCCAGGTGGCCCCAGAAGACCTCCTTTCCATCCACGATTTATGCTTCAAGGTCCAAGGCGCCCTCCTCCTCCTGGAAGTTTGCAACATAACCCACTTGGACCTCCTCCGTTTCGACCACGTGGGGGAGTTGTACCACGATTCAGACGTGGTTTAGGCCCTTGGGGACCATTACCCCGCCATGACATGATGGAGCGAGATTTAAGACGACCACCAGCACCTCATGAAATTATAGCTAGGGAACCAGCTGGTCCTCATGGATATGAAGAAGAAATTGACAGAGAGCCTGCATGGCCTCATCCTCGTGGTAGAGGGATTAGACGACCACCTTTGCCACCCCATGAAATGGGAAGAGGCATTAGAAGACCACCCATGAGGCCTGCAATGCCAAGAGAAAGGTGGCATGGCCCACCACCTCATGAAGAAGAGAATTATGAGGAGGAATACCCATATGGTGCAGAGGATGATGTGTACAGAAGGCCACCTCATGAATACAATGAAGATTATGAGCATGGAGATGAGTATTATGGCTCTCGTGAGGAATGGGACGGGGAGCAACCTGAACGAGACTATCCTCCACATCGTCCTCCAGAACGTGTTAGAGAGGATCCATGGTTAGAGGAAAGAGAAAGATCATTCCCATATGAGGAAGACCGATATAGAGAAGAACGAAGGGGACCTTTTTACCCTGATGATCCACCTTATCAAGACCGAGATCGGGAGCCTCCATTTCATTCACGTTCTGATTGGGAAAGGCCCCCACCTCCACCCCCACCAGAAAGAGGATACTCCCGTTCACTTAGTGAAACGGATTATGAACATAAACTGGATCCACTAGCTAGCCTTCCCGCACCTCAAGCCACAGATTCCCCACTTGATGAGTCTTCACCTAGCGCAACTAAGGCTGTACTTGCTCTTTCTCAAAGGCAGCATGAGATCATTCTTAAAGCTGCCCAGGAGCTAAAAATGATCAGGTAAAATGGAATTTATCAAGAGCGTACAATTATTCAAATAACATGCAATTCATACACTCCAAACGGTTGAATTCACAACTTGATTAAACCTGTTTGTTCGTAGAGAGCTTCAGGAGACCAAAAAGGCTTTAGGAGAGGTTTCCACCACAGAGTCAGCTGGGTTGCCTTCAGAGCTTCCTGCTGGCATCCTTGGATTGGAAATTCCACCAGAGGTTAAAAGTGCCCTGCAGGTATGCTAACTGTGCATAATAATGTTTAGTATTGCAGTAGTTTAGTTATGGAAAGCAATTGATCGCATGAGGATTTTGTTTTGCAGGCTACCAACTTATTGTCTGAAACTGGACAGACATTCAATGCTGGTTTGTCCTCAAATCAATCTACAGATTTTCTTTCTTCAACTGCCCCTACAGCCTCATTCATTGCTAAAACTGTGGACTATGCGCATGGTCGTGGTCAGTGTATGTTCTGAATTTGTTTATAAATGCATCTAGTCAAACGACAGTTTTTTACACTTGTTTTATCGTTCTTTAGATGGGGGTTCAACAGTGGAAAGAATTTCTTATGGGGAGAGGGTCTTGCTAAGACCTGCTCCAGCTCCATCTGAGCGATCTTATGAGAAAGGTTGGTCCTGCTTTCTTAATATGAAAGAACATTGTTTATTTTGATTTGTGAATTTCTGAACAACCTTTCTTTTCATTTAGAGTTGCTTGGCCATAGAGATCCATATTATGACAGAAGAAGTGACCCGTATGCTGCCAGAGATTATGACAGGGAGTGGGAGAGAGATCCATATAGGGAGAAGCCGACTTTGGATTATGAGAGAGACAGATATGAAAGGGACCGCTACCTACGAGATGAACGGTAAGTAGTTTACATTGCAGTGGCATCTGATTTAAATGCTTTTCATAAATTTGTTGTGCTCATTGTCTTATTAATTTTAGAACATTTCATCATCTACATCATAATATCTGTGAAGAGTAGCATTTTGAAATTATGGTATTATATATGTAGTTCAGGGGTTATTAAACCTGTTTCTGGAGGTCTAACTTCTTGCAAAGGTTTGCTGCAACCTTTATCAAATGCATCTGTATTTAATTACCTAGTCCTCCATCCAATCCTGGGGTCCGTTCTTTGTACGTGGATTACTCAGTTAGCTGGATTTGGATGTTGACGATTTGACACGATCCAGGATCATTTTGTTCTTCAAAGCTGATCCGAGAGTTGTTGTCATAGCAACAGTTCTGGTAGATCAAAATTCCTCGGCAGCAGGCTCAATTCATATAATCAGGATTAGATCGGCTCAGTTCATGCAAAGAAAATACTGAAAGTATGTACCGAATGCTGATATTTTCTCACAGTAGTAGTTGTATACACTTGGGAAAATAGTAACTATTTTTAATTATATATATATAAAGTTATAGTTATTAACAAAATAAATAGTTATACATATTAATAAAACTTATGCAATCTGCACCCCTGAAATGAAAGTACAAAGACTGCCACCTGGTGGTGCAAAGACCGATTAAAAATGGCTACTATAATAAGAACAATCTAAATACACTGATATGCATTGAAATACATGATGAATAATCTTGACACATGAAAATGTAAAGCCTGCACCTCACAACAAATGTGGAAGGTTATTGCGTGTCATATTTAACAGACGGTTTACTGCTAATTTGATGTAATTTTGCTCACATGGATAATTGAATATTACAAGGGTGATAGCGTTCCGGCACCACGCCGGATTTCCGGCACCACGCCGGATTTCCGGCACCACGCCGGATTTCCGGCGTACTGTGGCTGCGGGGAAAAAAAAAATCAGGTTCACGGATATTGATCTGTCATTTCTCTAGATTCACAGAATTCACTCACTGCTGAAAGCGCCAGATTGGTTTTTATTAAGTGCCATTTTATGTGCTCGTGAATCATCTTTTAAGTTTTGACTTTTGACGCCATGTAAATAAAAGATTAATTGTGTAATTTAGAGAGCTTTATAAATTATAACGGATCTTTGTGAGATCTCTATGAACTAAGATTAGTGACGCTTTTTAGTGATAATAAGAGGAGCGTGCTTTGCACTTTCCAGGCTATAATCCATTCAGAATTTGTATGAAACTTTCGTTTTTGGCACATATACGCTGATATGTTTTGGGAATGACATGTGCATATTTACGCTAGGTTTATTCTCGAAATAACGGTGAAGCAATAGACGGGACAAAAATATATTTCCCCCTTCTCCTTAAACAACTTAGTGTTTCAGCTATGAAATAGTTCAGTTTTGTATGTAGCCTAATGGCAAAGTGTTTATATTTAGTTTCGTTTTTTTATTCAGCTTATTTAGAAAAACGTTTGGAGCATTTTTTATTCGTTAAAAATAAGTTTTTTTTAACGAACAGCGCCCAGCGGAAGACCATCATTGTCTGTTTCAGTTTGCCTTCTCAGATCATCACGACTTGCCTAAAATAAAAGATATAAAACAGTTCAAGTATAAAACAATGGTAGCTTAAACGTTAAAGAATGTGTGCAATTAGGCGCATAGTTTGCTTATAAAAAGCTTGCAGGACATCGAGGCGCCAGAGCAATCACTTGCATTTTTTCAGTGGGAGCAATTTAAAGTTATCCGTCATTTTTGCTCACAAAGTACGAGTAATACATCAAAAAACGTTACAGCGTTTTTATAAAATAAAGAAAACCAAAATTATGCGCTTTCTGTCTGGTTTTTGAACAGGAGCGCTTAACAAAATGAAGCAAAATGTATATGCCTCACAGACATAAATATATTTATAGAAAGCTTTAAATTATTAACGAAATAAAACAAATCGAAAACAAAAAAACTCCTTCATGTAATCCGTAAAGATGAATTTATCTCTAAAGGCGAGTCCAAGAGGAGATTGCCAGTCAGGATCTTTGCGACACTGACTCAGAATAAGTTTATTAATAAATAATTAAGATATGTCCTTACTCTTTCCTCGACACATTCATTGTTATTTGTTTTTGCCGGTGCTTGGGGCGAGTTTTAGCTTATTGTGTGCGCTTGAACGCGGATTCACAGTAGCAGTTTTAACATGGAGTGACACGACATCTGACGTACAGATGACACTGGGACATGCCACTGAGTCTAGTGACACTTCCGGTGGCACGTCCGGTTTTCTACTGTCATGTGTCATTTGCTAGTTGCATGTGTAGTGACCTGTGTCACTCAGAGTGTCGCGCTGCATGTCCCTGCAGTGACATCGACACCCGGCGAAGCTTATGACATTAATTAACACGAGCAAAACCATATTTAATCTTTACGCGACTTTTAACCTAATTTATCGCGTCGCAAGTTAGTTTATTTGCTGAGCTACTCCACGATGTTTTAATTTAAACGCATTTATTTTATGTATTCGTAGTCATACTTCCGTACGTAATATAGTCATTTGACAGTACATGTCAGTCAAATTTATTGTGGCATGCTTATGTATGGGAGGGGTTACACTTATCTGTTGTACTGTATATTATTGCATCCTGGCAGTTCCTTTGTTCCCTACAATATGGACTTCTCTATGTTTTTAATTCATTCATTTATTTTATTATTTAACTTATTTTCATTTTAAGGTATTTTAAATAATATCCTTTAAAAAGTTATAATAAAATGCATGTTGAAAACTCATAACATATATGCATGTAAGATAACAGGTGTCATTTGCCTAATGATTTTTAAATATTAAAGCAAAGAGACTTATAAGATTAATGTGCTTATAACGTGCTTATACTGACACCTACTGTCACATGTCACAAGATCACTGACACTGGCATGTGTCACTGACATTACTGGCATGTGTCTAAAAAGAGCCACTTGACAATAATGATAATCAGGGTTACACATAGGCTGTTAATATATTTGGGCCCAGGGGCCCACAAGTTATGTGTTAAAAGTGCGTTGCATACATAGTACCCCCACCCCTACTCACCTCAGGGGCAAGGAAAAAAAGTTCAGGCTCAGGAATTTTTTCCACTATCAGCCCTGAGTTTATCCAGACATTCTAATCTTATTCGCGAACTTCTTTGAAGAACCAAATTAGCGAGAGATCAGTTATAAAGATTAAAAGATCCATGATCTGCCAAATCATCTTGGATCATTTAAGCGAGGTACGAAGAACGGACCCCTGCTTAGTTGGATTAGTTGTGTTTGATTAGGGTTGGAGCTGAACTCTACTAAAAAGTTACATCTCTAGGAACAGGGTTGAGCACCCCTGATCTAGTCTATTGCATTGATGTTTTTTGTATGTCATGTTTTAGAGCTTCACTCGGGCCTCGTCCAACATACAGAGAGAGAGAAAGAGAACACTCAAGCCGCTCAAGCAGGGATCGAGAGCTTTATAATCGACCAAGCTATGAGAGATCTTCCTATGAAAGGAGTCTTGAACATTATGAGCATGGATCCTCAAGCTATGGTATTTGCATTATAAAATAATCAATCTTTGCTTTGGAAATGATGTGAGTATTGTTTTTAACAGGATAGTTCATCTTCCCCACAAAAAAAAAAATTGTCATCATTTACTCACCTTTCACTTGCCCATGAATCTTTGAGTTTCTTTCTTCTGTTGAACACAAAAGATAATTTGAAGTATGATGGTTTCTTGCACCCATTGACTTTCAAAAGCATTTTTTTTTTCTTATTAAAGTCGATGGGTCCCACCAACTGGCATTCTTCAAATAATCTTCTTTTGTGTTAAACAGAAGAAATGCATAAAGGTTGAAAACCATATGGCGGAGACTAAATAAGGTATTTTTCATTTTTGGGTGAACTATCCCTTTAAAGTTTTAGTGCTTTTTTTGCAAATAGTTCATTTAAACAGCTCTGACCAACCCAACGCAGCAGCATAGGCTCTGATGATAATTTTTGTATTTGGGACAGTATATTGTTTTAAGGGAGTGTTTGAGAACCTGTTTATTAATTTGTTTATTTTTTTTGTGAAGCTAGTAGCATAAAATGCATAATAAAATTTTACTTAAAAGGATTTAGGAGCAGAGGGAGTTTATCATTCGTAACCATCTTTGATTTTAAGTTGAGGCTGATGCATGATGTCTGTTTTTGTTATCCAGGTGAACGGAGAAGTTATCCAGATGAACGGCAGCCTCCACCCACATCCCTTCCTCCGTCTGCACCTGTTGCCCCACCTGTGGAGAAGAAACCAGAGATTAAGAACGCAGAGGACATCCTTAAACCCCCCGGTCGATCCTCTCGGCCTGACAGGGTATACTGCACGTCATTTGTGTTATTACAAAGCTGGGATTTTAATTGCTGGACATTTACTTATTGTACTTTGTTTTGTTTTTTTTAGATTGTGGTTATCATGCGTGGATTACCTGGAAGTGGCAAAAGTCATGTTGCAAAACTTATTCGGGTAACTAACTTACATAATCGTTGTCATCGAAATTTGCAAATGATAGACGTTTGCTCTGTTTTGGACCAACTTTGGAAATAGTCCATAAATCACATGCATTCCAATTTATGTTCCATGTAGGGAACTTTGACCCCTACAGGACATCACATACCTTACCACTTGCCTATTGTTGATGCACACATAGCTTTGTCAATTCTTGAATGATATATTGAGCATTTAAAAAAATGTATATTTTTTTTCTGTATTAGGATAAAGAGGTTGAATGTGGTGGTGCGCCACCCAGAGTTCTCGGCCTGGATGATTATTTCATGACTGAAGTGGAAAAAATTGAGAAGGACCCTGACTCTGGGAAACGTATAAAAACCAAGGTCTGAACGTATCCGTCACTCATTTTACATTGTGAAACAAAACTTGCTTACTCAAAAGGATTTAATCAAAGTTATGCAAATCTTTTTTCAGGTGCTTGAATACGAGTATGAACCTGAGATGGAAGATACTTACCGAAGCAGCATGTTGAAGACATTCAAAAAAACACTGGATGATGGCTTTTTCCCCTTTATAATTTTGGATGCCATCAATGATAAAGTGAAGTACTTTGACCAGTTCTGGAGTGCTGCTAAAACCAAAGGGTTTGAGGTGAGCTTTCTTTTGTTGCTGGGAATTATTTGAAAGACTAGTCAACAGGCTAAAGCAATTGGAGCTGAAAAGATTAGTTGACATTGTAGACAATGTTTTTCAGAAATTAGTTGACGTTGTTGAGTGGTCGTTTGATCACATTACCTAATGTAAGGACCTGCAATATCACAATTTTTCCACAATGTGGCGCTAGATTGTAATGTAGCCCCCATTATTGCTATTAAAGTAGAAGGAAACAATGTGAACTGACCATCTCATGATGGAGTGAAAACAAATTCAAAATAAGAAAGTGTTTTGCTAGGCATGTCTAAAGTTCAGAGAGGGTTTTGCAGCATTAATAATCAATTGTAGTTCTTGTTTATGAAATATGAACCTAAACATCTCCAGTTCTAGGCTTTGGTGCGGTTAGCGCTCTCATTACATGCGCACCGCGCCTGAGCTTGACAGAAACTCACTGTACTCCAACTATTCCAAAAATTCCTGGGGCAATCAACTATGTTCAGGCTTTCACACTAGTCAAACAAAATGGTTTTTGGTTTTATGACTTTGTTTTATATTCATGACAACATAAAAAGGAGACATTTTTTAAAAAAATGTCATGTTGTTAACTTAAGAACATATTAATATAATTTGTATATATTTTTATATTATATATTTCTATTACCGTTTAAAATGAATATTTTAATAACGCAGATTCATATTTTACCATTCTGTATCCTGAAGGAAGTGTTTTTTTTTTTCATTAGACTGAACTTTTTTTTAGTATTTATTTATTTAGTCTATAATTTGTTTTCTATTTAAAGGAAACAAAAAAAAAAAGTTAAACAATGCTAAGTGCTTATTTGTTTTGGACATAATCAGAAAATGTAGACAACCATTTGAAATGCTGATGTGATTTTTATTTCAATACTTAGAACAGGGGTCACCAATCTCAGTTCTGGAGGGCCGGTGTCCCTGCAGGGTTTAGCTCCAAATTGCTTCAACACACCTGCCTGGATGTTTCAAGTATACCTAGTAAGACCTTGATTAGCTTGTTCAGGTGTGTTTAATTAGGGTTGAAGCTAAGATCTGTATAGGACACCAGCCCTCCAGGAACAAGTTTGGTGACCCCTGACTTAGAATATGTATAACTCATTTTAAAACTCACTTATTAGTAATTAATGTTATCATTGATTAATTGTATAGCAACCCTTTCTTACTACTATATATTTTTAGGTGTATTTGGCTGAAATCACGACTGATCAGCAAACATGTGCCAAGAGAAACATCCATGGACGAACACTAAAGGATATTTCAAAGGTATATTCTTTAGCTTGGTTTGGATATCTGGCATTTTTATAAAGTATCCTAAATTCTGTAATATAGTCTTACTAATGCTATTGCTGACAGCTGTCCGGTGGCTGGGAGTCTGCACCGCCTCATATGGTGAGACTAGATATCAGGTCTCTTCTGCAGGATGCAGCAATCGAGGATGTGAGTGTTTTGATGACTTATGCTGTTATGTTAATTAAAGTCAATTTAAATAAATTTCCCTGATGCCCTTTTTCTCATAGTAACATAAACTGCTTGTGTGCTAGGTGGAGATGGAAGACTTCAACCCATCCGATGAACCAAAAGCTGAAGTGAAAAATGATGACGATGAGACTGATCTGGTAGGACCTCTCTTTTCATGCATGCCTTTTTTGTCCTATACTTGAAAGTGTGACTATAGTTAATTGTCCCAGTTTCTCACCCAAACAAGGTAAGTACTCCTCTGATCTTGCACTAGTGTAACTACTTTTTTTTCCTTTTTAGGAAACTACTTTTAGATTTAAAGACATTAAATCTCTTTTTAATCTAATCTTCAATCCATATTGTTAATATGGATGATTTAGTGCTTGTTTAAACATTTTGTCAACTGCAGTTGTATGTAATCTTATTAATGTAAGTTTTTGCTTTCAGTCAAGTAACTGAAAGCTCAAGTTGACTCATGAAATGTTGTGTAATTGTATTTGTCTAATTGCTTCTACATTTTCCCTCCCAAATCTTCATATTTACTTACATTTTCATTGATGCACCTACAGCCTTTTATCTTGAAATACTGTAGGCTTACAATGCTGCACATACAAAATAGAAGACTATTTTTAAAAGGGGTTGGCAGATCTGATCTTGTAGTTTTGTTTTATTTATTAAATGGAAGTGAGATTTTACACTTTGAAACATGCTTTAAATGGCTACAGGGTTCCCAAGGGGTCAAAGAATTTCTGGAGTATTATGACATTTTAAAAAATCTGTCACAGACATTAAATGTCAGAGAATTTGGTATTTTCTCTTTTTATGCAGTGCAAGGATTTTTGTGCTTTATTAGTTTATTTTTTATTTTTGTACAATGTGTACTGTAAATGTTCCTCTTCTTGTACCAATTAGGCTATTATTCAGCACCATTTTGTTTCTTTCTTCGCTCGTCAACTGGCAATTAATGAAGTCAAATGCAGTCACCAGGCTGTACCTGTAAATAGGGATAGTTTAGTCAACAACAATAAAATGTTATTGAAAATGTTCCTTGGTGTTTTTGTATAATGCAAGTCAATAATGGTAACCTCATATCAATCCTGATGATGCACCAAGGACTTGAAGTGAAATGACTGGTCTGCAAGAAACTGCTCTTTATAATATTATTTACATAATTTATTTTAATATTATACACGTGTATGATTGTAGCAAATATAGCTATCCATTGTTGCTCTTAAAGTGCCTATTAAAGTCATGCGTGATGTTTTTTAAGCTTAACTATTAAGCCGTGCTCATACTAGAGTTTGTGCATGCAAAATTCAGATGTATGGCGCTGTAGAAAGGGGTGGAATAAAACAAGCTGTTAAGATATTTATGAAGTGACAATTATTCCATATTTCAATTTTTTTTTGTACAGAGAGGTCATGAGTTGATTTTCTATTGGTCTCACGCAATCATGTGATGCAATTATGCAGGCTACGCAGCGAGTAAAACTTGTCGCACGAGCTTATTTCCTAAAAGTCTTCAAAAAGAGTGTAAAAGTGAAAGAGTGTGACCAGGTACAGAACAATGCACCAGCCTGTTTTTTCTTTCAATATAGGTCATGGAATTTTAGCTCTTTAGGCTTGAGAACCCTGTAGCTCAATATTTATTTATTAGTTTTTTATCACTAGGAAAAGCGAGGCTAATCATCACTTGCAGCTCCATTACAGCAGACTTATCTGAAATGCACAAAATGCAATGGATAAAGTTTTTTTGAATGGTCTGTAGTGTAAAGTCTTTCTGAATCTAATTTATACAATGAGCCTTTGAGAATCAGGCAGCAAAATAAATCCACTTTAGTGTAGTTTAAAATATTGTTACATTGATTTAGTAAAGTCATAGTTAAGTTTCAGACTTTGGCCTGTTGGCCAGATGGATACAAGAATGTTTCTCTATGTAGTAGTTTTGTGCAAATCTTGACTTTATCTAGCCAAATATTCAACCAATACACAATAGAGACGTTTCATTTTAGTTGACCCCATCCAATGTCTCTGGAGAACTGTTAAGATCTGATTTTGTTTGTTTAAAATGAATGAATTTTACTGCCTGATTAGGAGACAGTATAAGTCTTGGACGAGATGCTGCATTTAATTTCATTGTTCTGTTCCATGTCTTTACAAAATGAACATTTTACCAGTGTTTTTAATGGAATTTTTTGCACTGAGCTGCTGCTCCTGACTTTTAAACGGTCTTTTGTTTTACACTTTAAAACTAAACAAACACAGGTCTAATTAACTGAATATTTTTATAGATTACATTAACATAGCTGTAATAAGAACTTTGGAAAATTGAAGATTGTCATGTTAACCTTTCACCGGAAGTTTTTTTTTTGGTGCTGAAACTTTTGTGCATAAAGCCCATTGATGGATATTCACAAAGAAGCACGTTTCTTTGTCCTTTACATGCTGTTTGTCCTGCTTTTTGGAGTAGTAATTCTAAAAACTGAATTTAAAACTTTTTTTTTTCCTTGTATTTCAGTGCAGTACTTCCTGAAAGTATCTATCTGAAAGGTATTATTGTAACAACCTTATCTTAGCACACCAGAGTTGTAGTACAACGAGTTTTTATTGCTCTGATGTTCTTCGATATTTTCGAAATCTTGCAAGTTCACAGAAAACGGCTTGCTTCTGCAATGGAAATAAGGTGGATATAGAAGCACTGCACAAGTTTCTTTTTTCTATTATTTGGTTTATATTACAGCAAGTCTCACAATAGTGCCTTTGAATCAATGAAGTGCCTGTTGTGAAGACATGAACCAGACGTTAATCTTGTCTGACTTTTCTATTGTAGATTGATGATAGAATTTATTGTCATCTTTTTGCGGTGACTTCTGATTTGGAATTTGCAGCAAATGTGTAGCAATTGTTTGCAGTAAATAAGTATAGAAAAGTATGGCAAATAAGGAAATATAACTTGGATATGGTTGTGGTTGTGTTATTGGATGTGGTTTGTTCTTGCATTAAAAGTTGATTTAAATGAGGTTTAGCACATTTTTAACAGTGACTCGTGATAGAGGAATCTTTAATCATATTCATGCAAAGTAAAACAATTTTCCACATGCAGATTTGTATATATGACATGTAATTTTGGACTGCAAACTGCAAAATTGATTTAAATTTGATTAAATCAGTTGAGTTGCAAAAAAATACTATACAATTGGAGTAGGAGTTTATATTAATGAATCTGAGTAAGACTGCGTTTACTAGAAAAGTTTAAATGGGTATCACTGTCACTGTGGTTCATGAGCGCCACTTGTTGGCCGAGCGTGTATGAGTCTCATTCAGCTAATCCTGTTTTGTAGGCTGTTTGTAATTAGTTTTACAAAGCCAGACCATTCTGTTTTTACTTTAATTAGGAAATTATACTATCTAATATTGATGAAAAATGCTCCATGTGTCCCTTTTTGTTTTTGATTATGATTAATACAGTGGTTTTATATATATATATATATATATATATATATATATATATATATATATATATATATATATATATATATATATAAATTTTTTTATTTATTTATTTATTTATTTTTTTTTTACTTGTGTATTTAATTTAAGACTTCAATTTTTTTTAATATTTCAATTTCTCAAAGAAACATGCACCAGTAGGCTAAACAAGACACCATTTAATTTACTGTATAACGTCTTCAATTTCATTTCCCTTTAAAAAAATGTGCTAATCTATTTGGGAAATCAGAATTGTAAATATAATCAAAGCTTATGTTGAGAGAATGGTTACATCCCTAAAATTTACTTGAAACACGCATTTATACTCGTTTGTTTGGGACAAATAGTTACTTAGCTTTTTTTTGTATGAATAATAATGCTTGTTTATCCTGACGTTTTTATAAAGTTGAAGCTGCAATTTCTTTGCTTTTTTTATTTAAGCAGTCAGTACATCATAAATTCCTCTTTAAAACCATGCTTTTTTTATACATGTTACTATATGAGACTTTTATATTATTTTTGATAATGTGTGTAGTAGACCAATACTTTCCTTAATCATCATATCTATAGACCTTTTTCATGGCTGCTTCCAGTAGAATGCTAAAAACTTCCGTTTACAGCGTTTATAACTGGTAATTTGCGCTCCGAAAATGGGTTTCAATAGCGTTTTTAATATATTACAGAGTGTTTTTGTGACACACAACTTAGAAATGTGTCTGTTAAAGCCATTTTAATCTGTCAGATGTGGTTCAAGCCCGTCAGTAATACAAGAAAAACATTCTCCTTGTTCACGTATCTGCCGTCAGAAATACAGTGTGTGTGTGTTCCCGGCCTTACAGCTGTTAGCTCAGCAGCTCTTCAATACACATACACACACACACACACACACACACACACACACACACACACGCAATACTTCGCTGCATTATAGAGCAAACCGTATTATTAGCATGAAACTTATGTAAGTCATGCAATTTACAAAAATGACCAATAAAAGTCTGTTACTGATCCTCTGCTGGCTGATTTGCTGTTCATTCTTATCGCGAACCGTTTATGTTTCATTTCATGTGTTGTTAATACCACGGTTTGTGTTTTTCTGTCATTTCGAAATGACACGCCTATATTTTCACGTTGTAAAAGTTATTTAATCAGTGGGTCAGTGGGACAGTACAGGCTACGTGTGTCTGTCAAACATTTTGGTGAACTACATTTGTTTGGGCTGGTTATATTTTTAAAGAAAGAGAAACTATTGACTTTAGCGATGATGAGGCTTCATTTAAACGGCAGAAGATGCCATCTGACAACGAGGGGAAAAACGCCTCACAGCAGCTGTTTTCCATCCTATTAGATCACATTTTTTTAAATGATCAGTCCAGGAGATGGTGCTGATGGACAACAGAATTAGTTCAAAGATGATAAAAGCGGGTAAAATAAATGAAATCTATCGTTTCAAAGCTGTCCAAATGTGACTGTTTACATGCATCAGCTGCTGACCGGAAGTTCTTAGCATTCTCCTTGCGCATACACGCAAAGCATCATGGGTAATTTTGCATTCCAAGAAAAAGGTCTATAAACGTAATAAAGTATCCCTGGCTAAAATGTTATTCCATAGGAAGCATGCGGTTTATTTACTAACTGCTAGAACACCAATTATACTGAGGTCAAAGCACATGTTAGTGTTTTCCAAGAAACCAATATGAAAGATTGGATGAAATATTGGCTTGAAACAAAGTAATGTGGTAAGAAATGTAAGACTACAATCTATGTTTTGGCCTCAGTGACATTCAGTTTTTTCATTTGTACTATATTAGTATCAATCATGTAAAACCTCAAAAAAATTTTAAAATTTAAAAATTATTGTCGGTAGTACTTTATAAATCTAAAGGTTAAACATAAATATGCATTGCATTATTATTAATAGGTTTCTAATGAGCAGCTCAGATGAAATAAACACTTGTTCAGAAACACTCGGTCTGTTATCCAGCCAAACTGTTCATTTCCAGAGTTTTTTCAGATCTGGAACATGAATATCAAACATTACTAGGGGAAATACATGTATGTATGTATGTATATGTATGTATGTATGTATATATATATATATATATATATATATATATATACCTGTGTGTATATGTATATATATATATATATATATATATATATATATATATATATATATATATATATATATATATAGCACACAGGTTTTGCAGCCTTGCAGGTACAACAGCCATAAAAAAAACTTCTTTGAGAAATTATACTATAGTAGATTTAAACTGAAGTAAGAAACAAGTAGCAAGTTTATTCCTATAGATGTTTGGCATAATAGTACTTAGTGTGGGTTTTTAAACTGAAGGAAGTATGTAATCTGCCTTTTGTGGCAGAAATTTGTGCTTGAAAATGATCATTTCTACTCTAATGCAATGAAATATTCTGTATATGATCAAAATACAGTAAATTTAATCAAAGCGGTCCAAACGTTATAATAAAAGAAAATTAATTTGCTTTTGTACGAACACTGTGTAGATGACCTTTACTATACCAAAGTTTAAAGTGTTTTACTTTATTTTATTTAGTGTATTCAGTCAGTGTTGTAATACTAAAGGCTTTAATTTTAATTGAAGGATGGATATTTACATTTCAGCTACTTGAATAATTTAAAAACAGACCATCCTGCAGTTCTTTTTGGCAAATGCAAGAAAAGCTTCATTTTAGCTCAGTGTTGCTCAATCCAGAAAAGCAGTGATGTGGCTGTTTTTCTAGTGCATGATTGAGAAATACGCCCGAAAGTTGTGGACAACAATACTTTTGCATACTAAAACTTCTATACTTAAAAGTAGACTTTCTGGGTTTTGCCCGTTTGTTGTGCTTTTGGCTTTTTGTCTTCTCACATGTCAAAATGTGGCTTTGAATTTTAGTACAAAATTAGTATGTCAATATTTAATTAAAGTATTGAAATATGCATGCTATTCTATATTCAGTGAACATTTCCTCGTCTTGAATATCGCATTTAGTTTATTGTTGCCTTTGTGACTTATTAATGATGTCTTTCTCAAGCTTATCCTCTCATTATCCAAATCATCATCATTGCTCCCCCAGCCCCTGTTCTGTCTTTGTTCCCCTTTTTTTTTTCACACTGTCTGTTCCTCTGTCTCTCATCGCCTGAGGATTAACCCCTGGAGTGTCTCTCTGTAATATAGGGATACGTTCCGAAAAGCAAATGGGAGATGGACACTTCAGAAGCAAAGCTGGGTGGGTATTCGTTGTTTTACTGTTGTTTTAATGTGTACAGTATGTTGTGATTTAATTGTTTGGTATAATTTGTATTTAAAATACTCATCCTCATGTTCTTCATTAAGCTTTAGAACACACACAATATTTTTAATCGATTGGAAAAAAATTCTGTTCCTCCATTTTACATCTGAAACATTTTAAAGAGACAAAAAAATTAATTGAGGACTTTGCTCTGAAAAATGAATAGATTTAATGTATTCAATAAGCGTTGATCACCGAATAATGTTAATGGCATTCAAGTCTGGTCACAGAAGTTCCAGCATGTTTGCTTGATGTGTGAGAACAAATAATGTTCAGTTCTGCATGTCACGTTACAAATTTAGGCTTCTGTTTATGTTAGATGTTTATATGTGAATAAAGCCCACACATTGTTCCGCATTTTTTAAAGCTGTCACATCTCTTTAATTGATTAATTAAACCTCTTTAATTGTGTTGATATGTTTTCGTATCTCTTGAGAAAAGCATCATAAATTGGGCATTTGGTATACTATGGGGAAATAAGTATTTAACACATCACCCTTTTTCTCAGGAAACATATCTCTAAAGGTGCCGATGACTTTTAAATTTTTTTTTTTTTTTTTTTGGGAGTTCATTTTTACCAGATTTTGGTAAAAACCAAATATTTCCATATATACAAAGAAAACAATATTAATTAGTTTACAAGTTGTGTAATAAAATGAAATGATACGGGAAAAATAATTAAACACATGAAGAAAGGGAGGTGTAGAAAGGCAGTGAAAGCCCAGACAGCAGCTGTAGTATTTATTTAGCAACCCTTCTGCCTTTTGTCAGTGTAAATTATTATCAGCTGCTTCAGTCCAACCTCTACATAATCAGGATGATGAAGATAAAACCAGGATGGACATTCATCAAGACAATAGCCCCTTTCACACAGTGATACTGATAAATATATGGAAAATTTCCGGAACGACTTTACCGGTAAATTCAAAAAAGCGCTGTTCACACAGGCGAGGACGTTACGGAATTTTTCTGGAAAAGAACATTCACACATCAATCCAAAATACCGGTAAATTCTGACATCATCAACTAGAAATTAGCTCTAAACGGCTGTGCTTGTATTTGTAAACATTTGACTAAATTACAAACTCTGTGGACGGATCAGTATTGTGAACAACTCCGATGAAAATGTATAGAAACACTTTCGCATGTCGAGATGTACATAAAATGTGTGTTTGCTTTCATGGGTATACGCAAAGCTTAAGGGTAAACAAACAACGGCTTATCATAAGCATCTTATTGATAATTATTTACACAGTTGGCATTAAGACGAACATATAAACGTTATCCTACTAGCAGCTAAAAATGTCTGGTAAAATATTCAAAGGCTCTTATTCTCAAACCGCTCGGACGTGAATGCTTCTGACTGTTCTGATTGGCTAAAGCAGGCGTTCACGTCTGCACGTTCTAGACGTGCACAAGCTCTTTCCGGCAATCTTTCTTCTGCAGTCACACAGCGCAGCATTCCGGCAAATTACCGTTAATGTTACAACTTTTCTTTCTGGAAAATAGCCAGAACAAATTTACCGGTATTTTCAAAAAGGGCCTGTTCACACATACACACCTTTTCGGAAAATTGCCGGTAATTTTCCGGGAAGGTCTGTATGTGTGAAAGGGGCTATTGATGCAAAACACAGCCAAGGAAACTCTCAAATGCTTTCAGAGATAGAAAATCAAGCTGTAGAATGGCCCATCCAATCACCTAACTCAAATCTAATAGAAAAATACAAACTAAAGATCAGATGTGATAGACCAGAGCCATCAAGATTTTTACACTCTGTTAAAGCCTGTAAAAGAAATTCACAACTGAGCAATTCATGTGACTTCATTCGCCATATGAGAGGCGTCTTTAAGCTGCCATCACCAAAAAAAGTCCTTTGATATAAAGTATTCAATACTTTTCAGAAATTCACTACTTCTTCTTAGTCATTCCATTGTTATTACACACAACTCATTTTTTCAGATTAATTTTCTTTGTTATATTTTTGTGTTTTGAGTTTTTACCAAAATCTGGTTCAATTCCATGTCATCAGCTCCTTAAAAATATTTTTTTTCAGGAAAAAAAATACATCACATGTTGAAATATTTTATTCCCCCACTGCAAATGTGTTTTTGAGCATGGTAACAACAAGATTATTTTAGTAGCTTTGACACAAATAAGTGTTTATTGAATGTAGAATTGGTGATGACTTTAGATGCTGCATTGTTCTTCCAGACAAACTGGATGGTCTGGTTGGCGGAGGCAAGAGAAAACGGGACGCTGGATTGTCCGGCATGGAAGACTTTCTTCAGCTGCCTGATGACTATGCCACTCGCATGTCTGAACCTGGCAAAAAGAGGGTAAAGCACTTCACTTCATTTCCAAGTCCTTTTCTTCTTCGGGGTCATGTGTTTAGTTTTGTTTTGTATGTTCTTGAGTTTTGCAGATTGATCCTCATCTTTTGAAAAGTATTGAATTGTTGGTCTGTATTTTTTATGTTACCGAACAAAACTTGATCTACTTTTCTTATGATCTATTTGATGAATAGTTAATTATTTTTTGTTAGCTTAGGGAGGATCATAATTTTTCAAAGTTTTAGCACTCATCAACCTTGCTGATCTTGCAGGTGCGCTGGGCTGATCTTGAAGAGCAGAAGGATGTCGACCGAAAGCGAGCGATTGGTTTTGTTGTCGGTCAGACAGACTGGGAAAAAATCACGGATGAGAGCGGCCAGATTGCTCAGAGAGCTCTCAACCGCACCAAGTATTTTTAGGAGATTTTGTAATGACGTATGTACAGAGTTAAGGGTGAGTATCTTGTCAATCTTTTTTTTTTTTTTTTTTAGAGAAGTCAAGACTTAGTTATTGCAATATGTGGATAGCAGTGTAGAGTCATTTTGTTTTCAACTTTTCGCTTTCTTATCAAAAGAGGGAGAGTTCGAGGGTGTTTTTACATCCTGTAGGTTACGTTTTTTTAATCAATGTAAAAAAAAAAAAAAAAACTGGTTCACTAGGCAACATTTCAAAGTTAGGCAACATTTCAAAAAATATATTTATATTGTAAAGCTGTTCTCATTTTTCAAAGCACATCTTTTCACATTATTTGTCATTTATCAAAATGAATAAATGCTTATTAGGGATGGCCTGCAATAAAAATGTTGGCCAATAACCAGATATTATATTTGAAAACTGATAACTAATATCGACGGATAATTACAATTATGAATTTTTCTGTGCGATTGTAAAGATATAGCAATAACCACTAGTTGATTTTTCTTTTAAATGTATCTGCTCTAGATCTCACTGCTGATGTATTGTTTTACATTTCACGTAAATTATTCTGAAGTGCTCATTTTCTATGCAGTGTCATATTAGTGCATCAGTTTCAACTAAACGGCTCAAGTGTATTTTCATTCGGTTTGAGAGATTGTTTGATGTGTATTTGAGCACAGTTGACAGTTCATAAAATGAACTGAAAAAAAAGTGCATCAAATAAAGTGAGAGACCTCTTTAGGAACATTTTTAGGTGTAGATTCTAACAAAATCAGCTTTTGCAGTAATTTCAAAATAAAGAGAACATCTTGACTTGACCTCAATTATTAAGTCCAAACAGTGATTATAACAAGTTTGTCATTATACAAGTTTAAAAACTATTTTTTAATATCTTTTTTTTTCTGTGCAGGTCACCAATTCATGAAATCTTCATTAAAGTGTGCTGCCTGATGAAGAAAGAGCATCGACTCTTCAGAAGCGGGCACTTAGTCATCGGTCGATCCTGTAATAAACAATAAATGGCCTTGGTATAATATTTGAAATACTGTAAATCTTTTCTGTTTTATCCAGTCTTATTTTAATAGGTTACACTTTCTGTGATGTTTTGTAGCAGTGATGCATTTGATTGTAGGTGTTCTTTTTATTTTATTTCATTGATCTAGTTTGACCTTGACATGTTATTCTTGTAGTTTACACACATGTATGCACTCAATAAAGCTTACAAAACAGTCTCGTAATAAACCATTATACAGTCATTTTTCACTTGATTGCTGTTAAAAGCATTCCAAAAAAGAAAAGAAAAAACACCTGAATTGTGTAATTTGGTGTCTGGTTAATCTTCAAGAAACTAGTCAGGGGCTTGTTGCATAAACCTAGCTGCATGTTTGACCACCTAGCAATTCACCTATGAGTAAAAAGTAATCAGTTATAGACCTTTATGTCACTGACTTTTAAAAGTTTTGGTCAGTCTTGATGAAAAAAGGTGACTAACATTTAAATTCTAATGTTAAGTGGTTTTTGCAACCAGCTCCAGCTTGAATGCTTGATAATCCAGTATTGCGTTTAGTTTTCTGGTCTCTCATATGGCAGTCAATATAGGTTGATGGGTCTGTTTACTTTGCTGTTGACCTGAGGCTTATTTGGTTTGCCACATAAGTTGCCTGGAAACTGTGTAGTTATTGTCTTACTGCTTTTGTATGTATTCAACAAATCTTTGTAAGCCTTAAAGCCTTTTCATATAAAAATATGAGCTTTTTCTATATGCTCGTTATATCAATAGTTAAGCTTTATTAATATCCATGTTTGCATGTGGCTGTTTCTGAGAGAATATATTTTAAATACATATAATATCTAATGTACACTTTAAAAAAGCTGTGTTCCACACAATTCCTTCATTTTGTCCGAACACAGATCCATTAACTTATTTGTTTTGTTCAATCAACTTAATTTTGTAAAAACAATCATGTTGCTTCTCCCGTAAAACTCAAGGATTGTGTTGATTCAGCTCATTTTAAAGAAGTAATTTGAACAAGCAGCAAAAATAATTTTGAGCATGCACTCACAGGCCACTTCGTTTTAGGAATAGCTCATACCTGATTTGTCTGTCCAATAATGTTCCCACTCTGCATTTATCCTTTTGAATATGTTCAAGACCATCTGGTGAAGTTCATACCAAGAATCAAAAGAGTCAGGTGAGTTAAAGGTGCACCAAGTGAATTTTGACATGAGCCAAAACAAACAAGCCCAAACTCCAATTTTGATATCCTCCTGTCATCAGTAGAATGCTACTTACTGCTGATTGGCCTTGGATGTGCTTTAGGGCTTGGTCCGACACTGGAGTTTAAAACTGTTTCAAATATTGCTCGGTGTACCATTGTGACTTGGTTGTTGATACCAGACGGCCTGCACTTCAGAAACAACTGATGGACCACGATAGTAATGCAGTCAGCAGAAGAGCACACCAGTGATGTATTGGTCAGCTAAGAAAAAGGAAGCTAAAGCTACAGTTTGCCTGGACTTGGGAAAATTGGACAATGGTTACACACAAAGAAGATTGCCTAATCTGACAAGTCTCGATTTCTGCTTCAACATTCGGATATGGATCCAACCTGCCTTGTATTAATGGTTCAGACTTGTATTGGTTTAATGAAGACACACTTTTCAACCCTGTGGTAACATTTCATTTTTGACTGATCATGTCCATCCTTTAAAAGACCATTAAGGTTACCTTGAGATGCTACTTCCAGCAGAACAAATCATAAAGATTGAGTTTGAGTCAACTCTACTGGGTTTCTTAATAATGATACAGAGTTCACTAAACTCAGACTGTCTTCAGTCACCAGGTCTAAATCCAATAAAGCATGTTTGGATGTGCAAGAACAGGAGTCACATCATGGATGTTGAGCTGACAAATCTTTTCAAACTGTGATGATATATGGATCAAGATCTATGGATCAACATCTATGACACTTTTCCAACAGATTCTTGAATCGATGCCATGAAGAATCACAGGAAAAAAGCGATTCCATCCCAATATCTAATAAAGTGGTCAGTGAGTGTATATGTAAAGCATTAATAATATGAGCAGTAATCCTTGGCTTCTTATTAATGTGCATACTCTAAGTATTGATGGCTTGAATTGTCAAGTGGTCGATGCTACCGTGTCAATAAAAGCAGCATAAATGCTTAACAGCGAATTTCTCTACACTCAAAGGTAAGTGTGGCCATGCTGCTTAATTCATAGTTAGTACATGTATTAAATATACTTTATCGATGCATCAATACTTAAGCATGCTTGTAACTGAGTTGTTGTTCCAAGATGTAAGGACTTGCTGTTGATGTTACACTTTATAACCAATTTTAAAAAAACTCACTCAAAAGTCATCTTTTTACAGTGCAACACAAGATTTTTAGTGAAAAATTAACTGAAGCTTAAAAAAAACCTTTTTCTTTTTAAGACCCCAAATGTTATTTAGAAGTAGAACAGGTCAACTGTGGCTCTCTTAGATTCTTTTGTTATATTTGAAGCTTGATAGTTGCTTACTGACTGCTGTTGCACTTTGAACTGAGCAGTTAGGATGTTCTGCTTTGCATTTTGTGTTGCACTGAAGAATGTCTTTGTTTAGAAATAATATATGGGTGACGTTCATATTTGGGTTACTGCGTCAAAATATCCATTAGAGAATAATCCCATTTTGCTAATCAACAAAAAAAAAAATCATTATAAATGCGTTTCAAAATATGGATAGTAATTTTCCACTGAATCAGCAAACTTGTGCTGAATAAGCATTTATATAAATTTTATTACATTTTTAATGTTTTACAAAAAATATTTTGTTGTCATGTGAGTAAATCTTAAATACTTGAGGGATAGTGGCAAAGTATAAAATTTAAGAGGCAAGTAAGCTGTGGAGCAATGTGGTCCTTTAATGTTATAAAATTTTAGATAAATTTTAGAGGGGGTCATTGGTGGTAAAAAAAAATTGCTCAGAAAAAAAAAAAAAAACGTATACATGTATTGCACTTTTATTCCTTTGCTTGAAGATCCCTTTTCACATTTGATGACCCACTTATTTAGTGTAGAAAAAATATAATAATTCCCTGCTTATTCAAAACGTTTGATGGTAAGAACAAATACTCTCCAGTGAACAAGTAGGGGTTGGACAATAAAACTGAAATCCCTGGTTTTAGACCGCAATATTTCATTAGTATGGTGTAGGATAACCATAAACTGTTGTGGCCAATACAGCATCATTTTGTATAGGGAATGACAAATACAAGTCCCACACGGTGTTCCAGAGGGATTTTGAGGCATTCTTCTTGTAGAATAGTGGCCAGGTCACTATGCGACGCATGAGGAAGAAAATGACTCCTGACTTGCTCCTCCAAAACATCCAAAAATGGCTTAATAATATTAAATCTGGTGACTGTGCAGGCCAAGGGAGATGTTCAACTTAACTTTCATGTTTATGAAAACCCTCTGTCACCAGTCTTGCTGTGTGTATTGGTGCATTATCATCCTGATACACGGCACCACCTTTAGCACATGGTCCTCAAGAACGGTTGAGTAGTCCTTGACTGTGATGTGCACATCTAGCACAAGTATTGGGCCTAGGGAATGCCATGATATTGCAGCCCAAACCATCACTATTCACCCCCATGCTTCACTGTGGGCCTGCTGTGTGGTATGGAAAATCTGGGCATGCTTCACTCTTGGCAACTGTCTGTGTGGTATACTTTTTTTTTTAGGGCTTTTCCACATTATAACCCTTTTGGATGTGAGAGCCAATTAAGGTGGACTCATCAAAGAACAATACATTTCACGTTGTCCATAGCCTAAGATTTTTGCTGTTGGCACCATTGAAACCAACAGTCGGCATTGGCACGAGTGACCAAAGGTTTGGCTGTAGTAGCCCGGCCATATATATTGACCCTGTGGAGCTCCAGACCAAAAGGAGAGTTGAGGTGCACATTTAATTCTGCAGTGGGATGGGCAGCAGTGTTTTTTATTTTATTTTTTAAACTTTTTGATACAATCTGGGTTAGCACCAAAACAATTTTTCCTCATTTGAACTGCCGTCACCCATAATAGTATGTGCTTTGCAATAGTTTAAGCACAATTTTGCTATTACTCTGCCAATAATACCTTCACACTCTGCTTCTACTGGTGTAATGTGCAATCAATAAAGATTGGCCACCAGGCTGGTCAAATTTAGGCATTAAGTCTATAAAACCTAATTGTCCAGTGTTTCAGTTTTAATGCCCAACCCCTCTATATAGTTGCTGCAAATAGAATTTTTGTTGATTACTTGCATCTGTTAAAAGAGACCATCAGTAATGAGAGTAGGTAGGGGAAACAGCTGAAGAGTAATCATATTTCAACAAAACTATTACGACTAATCTATTATCCAAGAGTTGATGGTATAGAACAGTGGTCACCAAACTTGTTCCTAGAGGGCCGGTGTACTGCAGATTTTATCTCCAATTCTAATCAAACGCACCTGAACAAGCTAATCAAGGTCTTACTGGATATACTTGAAACACCCAGGCAGGTGTGTTGAGGCAAGTTGGAGCTAAACCCTGCAGGGACACCGGCTCTCCAGGACCGAGATTGATGACCCCTGGTATAGAAGATAAAGCACCTAGAATCTGACAACAGGCCTATTTGTGAATCTAAGCTGATGATAACAGGATATTTACATGTTTTGGGGTCCAAACCTATGCCTCGAGTTGCAAATATCTTAACAGCTGTTTACTTCTTAAATCACTACATTTACAGTCACGCATTATTCCTGACACCATTATTTTAATGATATATAAAATGTCTCTGTCATTGTTAGTTTTCTTTTTTAGTGATGAATTTAGTGATGAATTCTATTCAACGAATGCGTTTTCACTCTTTTCTTTAAAACATAATAAAAGTGGAGGACTTTCATTTTTGGGAACATGACAAGGCATGGTTCCTTTAAAATGTTTCCATAACCTTATATAAAGGTGGTTGGCATTACTAACACAACACTCTGGTTCTAAACATTGAATTCTCTATGGAACGTTCAGAATTTTATTAGTACATTTTAGTATTCCAAGCACATGAACTGCTATGAATAGACAGTTTTACTAATATATGATACGCAGATCTATGCTATGTATTTTAGGGGTTGTGCCATGTAAAGGTAGTCTGCAGCCATGTGCCTCTTATTTTAAAAGTCTGAGAGCATATGAAAAATGTTGGTTAGCATGACAGTCAGTGTAAGCGTACTTGCTTTGCAAGAAATTATCGTCTGGACAAAGCAGTACAAGGTCATAGGAATCTTAAGGTGCCAATACAGACTTTTAGGCCATAAAAGGTCTTAAGTTTACTGAAATATAGTTTTAATGTCTTAAATTATTTTAAATGGTTCTTAATTTTCCTATATGGTATAAAGCTACATAAACCAATGTCCACCTCAATAAAACTTTAAACAAATGTTTATAGCTACCTGTTGAGCACACTGATCTGGACAGAATTGTGCATACATGTAATTTATAATTTGTTTTGAACATGCACATAATGTTTCTTAAAGAACGAGACATGCATACAACTAGAGTGTGCTTGTTGACAGTATTTTAAATATTTGGCTAGGGAATAACTAGATTTGATATTTATTTTTTTGATGAAGCATGAAGATCTATCCCATTTCCCCAATCAGGCCATTAGAAAAAAGTCTTAATGTTTATTCCTCTGAGTTTAACATTTCTTTCATGGTGGTCTTGAGTTT